GAAAGTACGCAGGCGCGCCCGTGAGTCCGTACGGCATCCTTTTAAAATGAAATAATCCCTTACCGGGAACCGTGAAAGCTGTTAACTCGCGACTACTCTTTTCCAGCGGTATCTGGAAATATGCCTGACTTAAATCGATGGTCGAGATGTACCGGGCGGCCCGTAATTTATCTAAATCGCGTTCATGTACGGTAGCGGGTACGCGTCTTTTTTCGATACGCTATTCAGCCTACGGAAGTCGAGGCAAAACCGATACGTGCCATTCGACTTTTTGATCATAACTATTGGCGTGGACCATTCGCTTTTCGAGGGCTCAATAACATCGTCTTCTAACATCTTATCTACCTCCGCGTAGATCGCTTCTTGAATTTTCGGCGACACCGGGTAGTAGCGCTGTTTGATCGGCGCGTGCCCCCCGACGTCGATTTTATGTTCGGTTAGCGACGTGATGCCGGGCTTGCCCGAATCACCCCCAATTTCCGACGCGAGAAACTCTGTTAACCGCTGTTCTTCCGTGGCCGACATTTCTACCAGGCCACAACAAAGCGGTGGATTATTGCGCGGGCGCCTGGTCCGCGCGCGTTTCGGTATCGCGACGGTATCGGAGAGCGCGGCTTGCGACGGACACTCCACGGCCCTCAGGGCCGGCCCCGCTTCCGCGGGCGCCGCCACCGGTTCGGCCGCCGCTCCCTCGGCGGCGTTGGCGCGGGGCGCCTGGTCGCCGCATCTCTCGTCGAACGCGTACTCGATATTCGGAGCGTCTTTAAACCACCATCGGTGTGTCGCGAAATCTACTCCGATCCCAAAAAGCGAGAGAGCATCGATCCCGATTATACACGGTAACGCGAGAGTCGGCAACGCGCACACTCGCAAGGGTTTCGTTCGATGGCGTATCGTAAACGGGATCTCGATCTCTCCCCGAATTCGCGTGGTTTGCCCCGTGGCGGTTGTCACGCGTCGCCCGTCGGCGCTTTCAAAATTCATACGGAATTCTTTCACGATCTCTATCGCGGCAGGTCCCAAAAACGTGCGACTCGAACCGGAATCTAACAAGGCGGGGATCTCTCGACCCGCAATTTTAACCTTAACATACAACAACGATGACGCATCACGACAAAAAGCAC